AGCACTGACTTTTCCAATGTGGTAGAATTTGAAAAATCCAGATCGTTCAAGGATAGTGATGCTTGGGATCCCACCACTGGAATGCCATTCGTTTTTGTTCCTTTAGGCTCTTCTATCTGAAGATCCTCGTTTTAAATGCACATAAACTGGGAATCAGCATTGTGTGAATGAATATACACACCAAAAGGCTCAGAAGCTTGGTATATCTACTTTTCTCTGACAGGAGAGCCTTGTGATATTGGCAGAGACTTGAGAATATAGAAGCTTACACTCAGGCATTCATGTCTTCATTCTGTCATTTATTGAGCGTCTACTGTGTGCCAGGCACTATATTGAATAGCATAGTTCCTGACCTCCAGAGTCTCCCGGACTGATGGGTAAGGGAAATATAAACACTCAGTGCAGGAGACAGGGCTTGGAACACAGAGGAGGTGGCCTCTGCTGGAAGTGTAATGTTCCTGCAAGATGTGACCAGGATTTTGAGCTAGGATTTGAAAGATGAACAGTCTGCCAAGTAGAAGGAGATGGGTACAAGATCCTTACCAGCTTGTTTTCTTTGGCTCTTTCTGATCCCAGACAGAATGTCTCAACATTCTTATCAGAAGGTCACAGGGTCACAAGGATGGAGAGACCTCCTGCAGATACCTCTGGAGGTCACCAGGGAAAGACCTCTGCCACGACTTTGGCACACTCTCTCAGGCTCCTCCACTTTCAGTCAGTTTAAGGAGAAAGGAAAGGAATTCTTGGGAAAAAATGTAAAAGCCTAATTGGTTTGCCTTAACAAAATCTCGCTCCTGGACCAGCATTCAGTGCATTTGTCTAAATCCTTTTGTGCAATGAATCCAGATGGAGTACCTAGATATTTCTTTATTTATTGGGTGGGGGGATCTCCTAGTGGCACTGTAGGATAAAGGCTAGACTGCTAACCCCAGGGTCAGCAGTTCAAACCCACAATCTGCTCTGTGAGAGAAATATGAGACTTTCTGCTTCTGTAAAGATTTGTTGTTGTTGTTAGGTGCTATCAAATTAGTTCCAACTCATAGTGACTCTGTGGACAATAGAATGACACACTGCCCAGTCCTGTGCCACCTTCACAGCTGTTATGTTTGAGCCCATTGCTGCTGCCACTGTGACAGTTCATCTCACTGGGGATCTTCCACTATTCACTGACCCTCCTCTTTGCCAAACATGATGTCCTTCTTCAGGGACTGGTCCCTCCCGATACTATGTCTGAAGTATGAGAGAAGAAGTCTCGCCCTCCTGGCCTCTAAGGAGCACTCTGGCTGCACTTCTTCCAACACAGAGTTGCTTGTTCTTCTGGCAGTCCGTGGGACTTTCAATATTCTCCTCCAACACTATAACTCAAACACATCATTGACACCGTCTTCCTTATGCATTGTCCAACTTTCACATAGATAAGAGGTGACTGACTTGGGTCAGGCACACCTTAGTCCTCAAACGGACATCTTTGCTCTTGAATATTTAAAAGAGGTTTTATGCAGCAGGTTTGCCCAATATAATATGTCATATGGCTTCTTGACTGCTGCTTCCATAAGTGTTGGTTGTGAATCCAAACAAAATGAAGTCCTTAACAACTTTTCTTCCATTTATCACGAAGTTATTTATTGGTTCACTGGTGAGGATTTTTGGTTTCTTTACATTGAGGTGCAACCCATACTGAAGACTGTGGTCTTTGATCTTCATTAGGAACTATTTCAAGTCCTCTTCACTTTCAGCAAGCAAGGTTGTATCATCTACATATTGCTTGTCATTTATGAGTCTTCATCCAATCTTGATGGCACGTTCTTCTTCATATAATTTAACTTTTCGAATTATTTGCTAGCATACAGATTGAATAAGTACGGTGAAAGACTACAACCCTGGCACACACCTGATTTTAAATCATTCATTTTCCCCTTGCTCTGTTTAAATGACTGCCTTTTGTTCTATGTACACATTCCTCATGAGCATAATTAAAGTTTACAACCTCAGAAACCCTATACTAGGTGCTGTTGAGTCAGAACTAACTTGACAGCACCTAGTAATAACAACAGTAGATATCTTTTTATGTCTTTACTTGATGATCATCACATCAACTCTTATGTAGTGGTTTGAATTCCTCACATTATTTTTCCCAACTATGGAATTTTCTTTCCGTGGGTAAAGCCAGACTGCCCAGATTCAGACTGTGACTCAGCCATAGTTAGTCACCCACACCCTTCCTCAGTTTCCCCAGGTATAAATGAGTATAATTATGGTTTCTACTCCATTGTGGTGCTATGATGTTTAAGAGAATTTAGAACAGTAAGCACTCAATAAATATTAGCTACTATTACATATTGGAGAAAGGTGAGGCTTTCTACTTCAACAAAGATTAAAGCCTTAGAAATCCTATATCAGATCACTCTGAGTCAGAAACGATTCCACAGCACTTAGTACCAACACCTACTACTTAGTGCAGATCATTATGCCGAGGACTGTGTGAGCTGAAATGCAGACTAGTTACCATTTCACCAACAAAGCAGCCATAAAATACCAGTCAATTGAAGCATTCACTGGTCACCAATAATGTGCCTTCTATGCTGCACACTGAGTCCTGGTGAGGCACTGTAGGGTAAACACTGAACTGTTAACTGCAAGACCAGCAGTTCAAATCTACCAGGTGCTCCTCAGAAATCCTATGCAGCAGGGGTGGGGAACATCTGGCCTGCCAGATGTGTAAGGGTCTTAAAATCATTTGGTTTGGCTTTGCCACGGCAACCACAGTTCCAGCCATCACATTAGGGGTGATTTAAATGTTTGACCAAATATATCAGCCTAATTTTTAAGATGATAATTTTGTATGGCCTCTGAATGATGTTATAAATTTTGGCAGAAAAAAAGGTACCCACTAACCCAAGACTGAAACTCAAAGGGAACACATGAGCAGGCATATAAGCTTGCTGGCAACCACATTGGTTTACTCATTAGTGGAAGAGGGGGAAAAGCATCAATGAAAAAAGGAACTGAGTTCAGCCACATTCCATAGACTCCCGTTGACTTGGAGATGAGAGATAGAAGAGCATGGGCTGGTTGGTCCAAAGTGTGGTGAGACCTGAGGACACCTGAGCCCATGGACAAGGACATAGCCACAGATAGCTAGAGCTGACAGTGAAGCCTCCAGCTGATATGAAGTGAGGGGAGACACACAGGAACACCCAAACTTGCAGATAATACCCATTTGACCTAGCTTTGATGGCTTGATAATAAGAACTCGACTAGAGGACAATGAAAAAAAAAAAATTGATAAAGGAACTGAGGGTAAATTGCTACAATTTGATGAACTTGATCTATACTCATGATTGTAGTAGTTCTAAATACCAACAGAGAGGGATGGAGTCTTCTCATCAAGTAGCAATGCTGTCCCCTCTGTACACAGGGTAGATAGGAACGGGCAACTTAGAGACACTGTTTACCTAAATTGAGGGGGCGATAAAGGCATAAAGTGACTGGCATACAAGTTTTCAAGAGGAAGTTTAGTTTAAGAGTGTGCAGGGAAGATAGAGTCCCCACTGAATAGTTTTCATCTTGTCTAGGTGGGTCTAGTGAAAAGAGATGGGGATAAGATACTTATGATTCAATAGTGAGTAATGTCTAATCGAGACAGTCTCAGTTGTAAAGGTAGAAGTTTTGTAACAAAAGAGGGGAGTAGTTAATCTTACAATCCAGAAACAGAGGACCCTAGGACTATCAAGGGAGAAGAGCACAAGTGGAATGAGGGACCATATCTAGAGAAGTCCTGGTGTGGTGCTGTGGGTTAATGCGTCAGACTGCAGAGCCATTTGAACTGCAAGGTTGGTAGTTCAAGCTCACCAGCTGCTTCTCGGAAACCCTAACCAGGGTCCTTATGGGTCAGAATCGACTCGCTCGCACTTAACAACAACAAATCTAGAGAAGCGTGACACCAGAGATGGAGGCAGAGATGGGGATATGGAAAGAGGGAGCAGCTGAAGACTCTAGATTCATGGAAAGAGAGGGACTGAGAGCTAGCAGCCAGGAGGCAGGTTTGCAGAATGTGCCCTTTGGTGGTTTAAATTATTATATATGCCTAGTATTAAAAAAAAAAAAAAGAGCTAAAATGAATAGAGAGAAATACTGTTAACTGATGGTACATAGAGGAGATTATAAGCATTGTGAAAAAAACAAAGTATATGATTTGTTGAATTTAAAACTGATGGTCTGCCCTGTCAATCTTTCACTCAAATCACAATAAAAACTTAAAAAAAAAAAGATTCCCCATCTTTGCTATGCAGGGTCACTATGAGTTGAAACTGACTTGATGACAGTTAACAAAGTTCTGCACACTGAGAATACAAAGTCAAATGCCTTGCCCTCAAGAGCCTTATGGTCTAGTAAGAAAACAAGCCAAAAATCTAGACCTCCATATTGACAAACACTTTCATTTGTATTGTTGTTGTTGTTAGGTGCCATCCAGTCAGTTCCGACTCATGGTGACCCTGTATAGGGTTTCCAAGGATTGGCTGGTGAGTTTGAACCACTATATTGCAGTTCAAGCCAACCCTTTAGTCCAGTGTTTATCCTACAGCAGGACTCCAATTGTATAGAACTTTATTCTATGTAGGAGTCCTGGTGCGGTGCTGTGGGCTAATGTGCTGGACTGCAAAGTTGGTTTAAACCACGAGGTCAGTAGTTCAAGCTCACCAGCTACTCCTTGGAAACTCTATACAGGGTCTCTATGGGTCAGAATTGACTCGATGGCCCTTACTTACCAACAACATATTATATATGTATGTCATAGCTTCTCTACATGTATTTGGGACAGATACTATCACCTCCACTTTCTGTAAGGTGACAAAATGTTTGTTTATTACATTGTTCATTGCTACTTGACCGGACAAGGTTATCCTGTGAAAATATTGTAACCCTGAGGGGAGAGATTTCCTCCATGGGCTTTCTCTTCCTCCAGCAGTGACGGGTTGTAACTATTGTGTTTGTGTTAGGTTTGGAGGAGACCAGCCTGTCTACATTAACATCATTAGAGACCCTGTCAACCGGTTTTTATCCAACTATTTTTTCCGTCGATTTGGAGACTGGAGAGGAGAACAAAATCACATGATCCGCACCCCCAGCATGAGGCAGGAGGAGCGCTACTTGGTAAGTCCTGGAGCCTGTGAGGAGGTGAGCGTGTCTGGCTCTGGGGACAGTACTTCGAGGTTCCCTCATGGTTCCCCCTGCAGCACCTCCACAGAGGTCAGTTTGAAGAGTGCACTTCCTCAGGAAGTCTTTCAATGAAATGCTGCTCTGGATAACCCAGATCCTAATGCACATTTATTTTTGGTTCCAAAGAAGAATCCATCTATCTTAGGGACCCTGAACTAGAATTGTTAGGAGAACAGATGTGTTTGGGCATCTCTCTTAGGAGATGCTACAGTCCTTTCTCAGACCTCACCCCATTCAGTTCCCATGGGAATTCCAGGAAGGAAGAGTGCTTTTAGATGAGGACCCTCAGATTCAAAAATGATGTGGGACTTGCCAGTTCTCTCCTCCAGTTAAGTATTTCAAGCACAACTGTAATGTGGGCCCTCCAACTTTAAGGTGGGCGTTCTTTCAACCACAGCACACAGAGCCAAACCATCACGGGATACCCTGGGACCCTCAGCTCCATAGAGTTGATAGTTAGGGCCATAGTTGTAGTTTTCCACAATACAGAAGTTGTTAGCAAAACAGAGGACAAATTACACGTCCTTCTACCATGCCAAACTGTCCAAAGTATCCTGTACCCATCTCATCCTTTTGTAACCTGTATTGACAAAACATACAAGGAGTAGCTGACAGTCCCAAGTTGAGGAGGTTGAAAAATCCTGGTTTCTGTGTCTGAGAGAGTCATCATTCTGTGCTTTAAGAAAACAGGGACTGGCAGCCACCAGGAGAACAAGAAAGAAATGTTGGAAATCAGTGGAAATCCATTCACACTACTGGAAATGATCATGGCGCCCATGCTGCTGCTGACAGACCATGCCCTGACCTTGTAGCAAACCGGAACTTCCCTGTCTACACTTTATTAAGCACAGAATGATCATGAAAGTATGTGTAAGGAGGAGGGGAACATTTTCAAATGGTCTCCTCAGTGTCAAATTCACACCTTAAATCCACAATTGGAGTTGAGAAGACTGAGCTACAAAGACATTTCCAGGATTATTTATTAGTCAGTAAATCGTCTAATATCAGAACCCCAGACTTTTCACTCCCCCTTTAGTGTTTGTTCAGCTACATCATGCCTCAATGAGATATTTTGATAGCCTATTTTTAAAGTGGCTTTTACTTTTTTATTTCTCACTTTTGAGGGCAAAAACCTGAATAATTTCCTTTATGTACCTGTTACGTTATGACTGTCTAATTTTTATTCACTGGTAGATATGAATTTAGAGTATAGAATAACTTACTAGAGAAATAATGTTTTCTCACATCATCTTTATAGTTGGTATTGGATCTTGATTAACAAATGCATATGCTCTTTTAAAAACATTTCATTAAATGGAGCACATTCCATTTAATGAAAATATTTTTCAAAGTTTCTGACTCAGTCTTGGTACTAAGAAAGCTAGAAGAAGGTGCTGAAAACCTAGAGATAGGGAAATGAATTATGAACCTAGCCCTTCAAAAATGACAGGAGGAGTTGAGGGGTGCTTCTGGTCTGCCACACAGTTCTGACAGTTCCATAAATCATTCCATAGAGCTAGTCTCCACACATTCACAAAAACAGAAAGATAAAATCATTAGAGAAGTTATAAACAACCGAGGAATGACCGTGGGGTTGATTTTTTTTTAATTTTTTCAAAGGGTGTAGTGGAGTCAAGTCTTAACATTTTGATGAGCTGGTAGCTGATGGTGTGATTTGAGAGATGCCGGGACATTTCTTTACCTGGAATTCCACCGGAGAGATTTGATGGTTGTTAGCTACTCTCGAATCAGCCCCTGGCAGACCTGGTGTGGCACTATAGTATAAGCAGTGGTCTGCTGACTGCAAGGTCAGCGGTTCAAATCCACCAGCCACTCCTCAGAAACCCCAAACAGGGTCGCCATTTGTTGAAACCGACTTGACAGCATTTAACAAGTTGACCCCTGACTCATGGCGACCTTGTGCACCATGGGGTTGAACTGTTGTGAACCACAGGGTTTTTCCACTGACTGATTTTTCAGAAGTAAGACACCCGACTTTCTTCTTAGTGGATCATAGCCTGGGAACTCCAATGAAGCCTGTTTAGCATAGTAGTAACACACAAGCCTTCACTGGCAGGTGGGTGTTGGCTGCACATGTGATGCATTGGTCACAGTTGAACCCAGATCTCTTGCATAGAAGGTGAAAATTCTATCATTGAACCTCCACTGTCCCTTCCCCCCAAGAGATAACTATTTGCTGTTGGTATTAAGTGCCATCTAGTCATTTCCAGCCCATAGTGACCCTGTATAGGGTTTCTGAGGAGTGCCTGGTAAGCTTGAACTGCTGAGCTTGCAGTTCAAACTGACCTTGCAGTCCAGTGCATTAATCCACAGGGCCACACCAAAAGTGACTATGGGCTCTCCCTTTCTAAATGTAAGCACTGTGCCTCTTGGAGGGGTCTCTGTCAGATGAGGTAATCGACCATTTCTCCGTGGGCTCCTAAAAGCAGCAGGAAGATAAACTGGGGAGCTAGGGGTCCCGAGAAGAGAGTCCTTCGTGATCTGGCCTCAACCTGACCCCGTCAGAAGGCAGTTTTGCTTATCCAAAGGATGGTTTGTTTATTTGGAATAATCCAGTCTATTGCTTTTTTTTAAATAGCTTGAAACTTTTGATCCCATCGCCTGGTCCCATTAGACCCTTGAAAATAAAATCACCCCTTTTCAGAGCCTGTCCTTGTTTTGGCGAGCCCGGGTGGTTGCTTGTCTGACTAAAAGAGAGTAGTTGTTTGTGTCTCGGTGGGGTGCAGGACAGCTGTGAGGAGACCATGGTCGGTCCCTCAGCGAGGCCATGCATGGGGAGTGCAAAGGCCTGGTCGGGGTTGCCCACGTAGAGTCAGACACTCGGGCTGCTCCGTGCCCCTCCTGCACTCTGGGCATACAGTCCGGAGCTGGCCTGAAGCAGGGTGCTAGGTGCTGACCTGCCCACATTATTCCACATCCCAGGGCTCCGGAGCCACTTGCTTTACCCAGTTGCCAAACACCAGGCAGTTCTGCTCCTGGCCCTGAGCCTGGCCAAGCTACTTAGCATACAGCTGAGCAAGGGCGGGCTGAAATGATCTCATCCTGGACGGGATGCTGGAAGGAGATGGAAATGGGTAAAGGGGGCACAGAATTTGCAGGGCTCCTGGTGATCCTGAGGAGACTCTTCTTTTACGGTGGTAGGAAAGGGGTGGGACTCAGGGTGGCTTAAGGGCCCAGCCTTCAGACTCCACTCCCCAACCTTATTAGCACTCTGTGTCCACCTTCACCAGTTTGACTGACCACTAGCTGCCTTCAGCTGCCTTCCTGGGCGGTGAAAGCTGAGGGCCGCATGCCATGCTGTTTGTGCCACATCACCTTGCGCAGCATTTGACATCTTTGTTGTAGCTTTCCTCCCTATTCTCTGGAAACAACTAGGTTTTCTATATTTTACCGTTTATTCAAAACTACTCATGTACACTTACCCGAAAATAATTTCAAAATAAATGATCATCGCTCAACTAGATACAAAGTCCACATATAGCTGCTGCACTCCCTGGGCTAAGGCAGCCTCCCTCCTTTCTTGGTTTTGTGATCAGAAGGTGGGTCCATCTGACCCAGGCGCATGACTCTCCTTTCCAGCTGGAATTCAGGCTCCTTTAGTTCCAGGGCAGGGAACTGACAAACAGACACTGACAGGGAGAAAATGAATGACTGCCGAGGGAGCCTCACCCCACTCACCGAACTTTCCTGCTCTCCATCCAGCGTTTCTACTCTGTCAGCTCACTTGTGTGAGTCTTGCCTGCCAGTTGCCTAGAATCTGACCTCAGAAAGCTGGGTGCTGAAACGTTCTGCACAGATGTCATTCAGCCTTTCCAAACTCCAAAAAAATGTCAGCATGGGCCACTTCCCAACCATTATCGCAGCCTTACAAGGCAATCCTCCATTTAAAGAGCAGGGAAAACCGAGGCAGAAATTTTCCCCGGAAGAAAACTGCCTCTGTGGTCGTTTTAATTCCGTTTGGCTATAAAGTGCGGAAAGTAATGCCTGCTTAAAAGAAAAGATGTGTAATTTACAGCTTCTTAATTCATCAAGAATTCAGTGAATCATGTTTGCCCAGTTGGATTCTGGAGAAGACTGAATATTGGCCAGAATCAGCAAAGGTCAGAAAGCTATGCATTTTAATCTGCTCGTAAGGTTTAAACTGTGAGATTCCTTCAGCTTTGGAAGTGTACATCTGAAAGACTTGTGTGTGGAAATTTCCACTCTGTCCTATGAATGAAACCTCTGGCTCAGTTTCAGTTCCTAAAACATATGCTTTCTTAAGAAAAGAGTAAGGGATTGGGATGGTCTGCTTTTGAAGTATTTCAGCAAACATCTATGTTTTCCAAATCTTTGAAAAATACCAGTTGCTGTAAGCTTGCTTCCAACTCATAGTGACACCATGTGTGTCTGAACAGCGCTGGGCTCCATAGGGTTTTCAATGGCTGACTTTTCAGGAGTAGATCGCCAGGTCTTTCTTCCGAGGCATCGTTGGAAAGATTGACCCTCCAGTGTTTCAGTTAGCAGCTGAGCACATTAACCATTTGTATGGACCAAGGACTCCTCTGAAAGGATAAAACCAAACCCACTGTCATCAAGTTGATTCTGAGTCATAGCAGTGTGGTAGGATGCAGTATAACTCCTTCATAATGCTTTACCTGTACAGAGCAAATTGCCTCATCTTTCAGCGGATGGGAGTTTTGAACCACAGACCTATTGGCTAGCAGCCCTATGCTTCACCCACTGTCTTACCAGGACTCCTTTCTGAAAGCATAGTAGGAAAGTTATGGTCTTTGCCTCCATCTCATTCAAACCTGGTTTATAATTTGGAGGCTGGCACAGTGACAGCGGACATGGCACATTCATGCTTTGCTTCTAGTGGCCCTGGCTGCATGATCAGGCCAATGATATAGCCCCTGTGGCCCTTGCTTTCC